AAACAACTTTTATTTAAACTGGGGATTATGAGATGTTTAGAAATTAATCACTGATTTGGCATTTGGTTATTTCCACCGAGATTTTTAAGTTGTGAAGTATTTATGATTACTGTTTTGCCCGAGGGGCTGTTTTACGAACTATGCTTTGCCCGAGGGGCCGATTATTGCTTCAATCTCTATTATTATTTTAAATGGTGTTGAACCCCTACGGAAACTGCTGGAAGTATTTCAAAAATGATTTTTACTAATAGCTGGGTTTTAAAAGGGAAGGTTGACTCGTATTATGATTTGATAGCCTGTTGTGTTTATTGAGCCTAACGCGAATGTGGATTCATTGTTTCCTACTACTTAGTCTTTATTTACTCTTATTACTTACTGGGTTGGAGTACTCACATTACTCCCTGCACCTCGTGTGCAGATGCAGGTATTTATTCACCCGGTAGCGGGTTTTGGCTGATTGGAGGCAGAGCTATAGGAGTTTAGCGAGGTGACTGCCAGCGTTCGCAGCACTGTTTTCTCTCTATTTTGTTCATTATTTCTGTTTCGAGTATTTTAGACCTTGTAGAACTGTATTCACACTCCAATAGATGCTCGTGACTTGTGACACCCCGATTAGGGTTGTGTTGGGTTGTATTCCCGCTAATTAATATCATGAAATCATATTTAAACTGTTTATGAACTGTTTAACTACTTAAAATATGTGTTCTAAAATGGTCCAGCTGGCCTTGTCTTCACGAGAGGCGCCATCACGACCGGGGCGGAGTTTCGGTCGTGACAAGTTGGTATCAGAGCCTAGGTTACTAGGTCTCACGAGTCATGAGCAGGTTTAGTAGAGTCTCGCGGATCGGTACGGAGACGTCTGTATTTATCCTCGAGAGGCTGCGGAACCTTTAGGAAACTTCACATTCTTGAATTCTTATCGTGCGTCCTTGATTCAGCTTGAAAAGAAACTCTTGAAATTCCTTCCACGCGTTTGTATGCGCGCATGAGCGCTTAATATCAGATGTGCCCTGATGACTTGTGATTCCCCGATCGAGGGGCGAGATGTGATTTCTGTGAGTTGATGTTGGGGCCAGTCTGAAGGACTTGAGGCCGGATCTTTGCCTATGGCTTGAGCACCGAGGTGCTGATTGTGTGAATAAGTGATTTGAACTTATATGTTCGCTAGTGTCCCTATTAGTGGAAGTGACGGCTGGGTAACTATGTGAAGAATGTATTAGTACTGCAGGATGCATCTATGTGATTGGGAAGTGACGAGGAAGGTCTGCTGGATGAAAGATGAACTATTAAGTATATGATTTCCATTATGATTAGATGTGTAGCTCCGAGTCATGGGCGCGTGAAGAATCTTTTCGTGTCTCCTAGTTGAGAGTGAAGTAAATTTCATGTTGCGATATGAGTTCAGACTTAGGAAGACTAAGTGGCTGTGTAAGGTGTATGACGGTGGAAGGTATACGGAAATGTTATAGTGAGGCGAAACAGGTGGGTTATCTCCTGCGGAGTGTTCTGAAGTGGTGTGATCCTTATGTGTATGTTAGAAGGTCTCATGTGTAATTGAAGGGTACGTGTTGAAATTTGAAATTTCGGGCCGCTTAAGAGAGTGGGCTTAATTGTTGCGGGGATGAATGCGAGGTTTGCAGAAGAGTTACAGTACGGGATGATTTGTGCTTTCACAACTTATAAATGATTTGAGTTTAATCTCACTATGGTATTGTGGCATCAATAGAGTAAAAGTGTTACGAGTTGTTGAGTATGTCTTGATCTATGGCTTCGAGCCAAGTGGGGGAGTCTGCTGTGAGTAGTTGATTGCACGGTTAGGTGCTATGTTGGTTCCAGTTGAGGCGTGCGGATGAATCAGTCATGATTTGTGGGAACTGAGACCGAGGATGTTGACGAAGGTTATATTATGCTTCACAGGGTAAGGAAATCACAGGATGCCTTAAGTTGTTGTTGGTAGAGGATGCTCAGTGCATAGAGCAGTAAGTTGCTTGGGTGTATTAGGATGAGGATTTCATTTTGCGGTATCGGAGTGCCAATGAGGCACGGGTGGTTCTGTTTGTTAGGTCAGGTAATTTGCAGTCTGAGTAAGAGTGAATGACTTTCGAGAATGGTTCTAATGTGTTCAAGATTTCTGCAGGAAACAATCGGGTATTTTAAAGTTGCATGCGTGGTTAGAAACTGTATTTTCATTGGAGGAGGTCCAGACTTGTGGTATTTCTATGTTAATTATGGGATCCTATGTATCAGTATCAGGAAAGTAAAGGCAACGGATTTAGATTTGTAGGAAAGTTCTTCAGAGTAAAGTATTCTGGAATATGGTGTTTCTGGGAATATTTGAGAGAGTAATTCAGTGGCTTATGGGTCCTAGACAGTGTGGTCTTGTGCTTGGGTCTCGTGTAGCGAGCCTGGGATTGAGAGATTGTGTCACTACAGCAAGAGTGAGCAGCAAAGTTGAAAATGAATCAGAAGGGAAGTTCGGATAGATTGAATGGTTTGATAGTAGGCCGAATCGGTATGGTAAGGGTATGATCAATTCTTTGTATGTGTTCGAGGTAATGGGTTCTTACAGGTATTTTGCAACAACACTCGTGGGCTTTGATGGCTTGCTTAGCTTGGTCTAGTTAGAAGGATTCAGTCCTGGCAGTTTAATTTGTGCAAACAGAATTGGGAGAGTTCTTGTTGATTTCTACCGTGGCTGGAGCGGTGCATTTTCTACGAATACAAGAGGTATGGGATGTGTAATGATTTTTTTTTCTTCTAGATGGGATAAATGGAAGTTCTTGGCTAATTGAGTGCGTAGGTGTCTGTGGCTTGGAAGGGAGATAAAAGTTTTCCTGTTATCCTTGGATGTATGGTATATGCGGTATGTTGTGGAGGATCGAGATTTGCGTGCATGAGGTTTTAGTTCAGTTCTAAAAGGAAGTTCATAACACTCTTAGGCAGCGGGTAGACTCAGATGATTAAGGAAATGGTATTGTTATTTGGAAGTGACTTGACGAGAGCATAGGTTTCAAGAAAAGGGGTAATGTGATTAAGTTGATAGCACTTCGGTAGTATTGCGGCACCTTCTTTTAGACCGGATATGGTGATTCATGTGCTGTGTGGATGTGGAGACGGAATTTCTCATAATCAGGCTATGATGGGGTATGTTAGAGTATGGATGCGTGTTCTAGTTTGAGTTGGTTTGGTTGGCCCCGAATTGTATTGTTGAGGGATAGGTTGATTCGACCGCTATTGAGCTTATTAGTGATCTGGGGAGATCTATGAGTTACCTTTCTGTGTTGTAATTGCTGGTTATAGGCACATATGGTGCGGTTCAATTGGGGTCTCCTAGTGGAATTCGAGCAGGAAGAGTAATTGAGCGTTGCTTAGTGAACGGCGTATCGGTTGTGTCCTATCGGGTTGCGTGGCGTATGTTATTTGTTTCACCGTGGGTGTAATGATTAGCTTTGGTTCCAGACATCAAATTGTGTGTGGCTGTCGATTTTGGGCATAGTGACTTGAGGTGTTCCATGTGTACCAGTGTTTGGATAGGATCGCGCATTGTAGCGAGGCTACGTGGAAATATGACCTTTCGGGGTAGATTCACGTGTTCTATTTCTATGATGTGAGTCAGGGTCTCAGCTTTGTGTCGTGATGGTACTGATAAGCTTGAGGTACAGCTCTTTTCGTTTGGGGTCATTAATGAATACGAACGGATTTGATTTCAGCTGGTTGGAAGGATAAATATCGAGGTTCGGTTCAGAAATTTGCTATGGTCCTTGCCAAAGGAGAAGTAACCTTATGGATGGCTGATTTGAGAAATGGTTGTGATTTATTGCGTGTTTCATTTATCATTGGCAGTATATGGAAGTGTTGGAATGAGACTTTAGTTGATAGGAGGTTTTCTACCGGTATTCGCGTGTCGTGTGCAGCTGCTGTGAATGGAAGTTATCACTACATGTGTTTGAGTTACGTGGTATATCAGATAATTGCATGTGAGGTTGCAGGCAGGGGTTATTACAGCTGGTTCGGGCTTATTCTGAATAGAGATGTGAGGTTCTGATCTTGTGTATGATTTTGGAAAATGAAATGTGGTTCTATGGCGTATGGGCTAGATTGGATGGTGAAATATCAGTTACAATTTGTTATCGGACTTATATGAGATAGGGTGATGTGGGATCACCCCCGGGTATGTGCATGGTAAGGTTATTCAGCGAGTGGTTGGCTTTTAGAACAACTCTGGGAACGTTCGAGGACGAACGTGTGTTTAAGTGGGGGAGGATGTAACGACCCGACCGGTCGTTTTGAGCTTTTGCACTTTGATCGCCAGTTCCCGGGAATGCTTGCCCCGTGTTATGCGTTATGACTAATGTAGATCGTTGGTTTTGGTTTTCAGGAAGAATTGGAATGAAATTGAAAGAAACAGTTTCAGTTGAAAGCTTTTGAATTGAAAGGTTTGACCGACAGTTGACTTATTTGTATATGAGCTCGTACCGGAGTTTTTATGATTTGGTTAGCTTCGTTAGATGATTTGTGACTTAGGAGTGTGATCGAAAGTGATTTTGGAGGTCTGGTGTAGAATTAGGCTTGAATTGACGAAGTTAGTATTTTGGCGAAATTCCGGTTGATAGGTGAGATTTTGATCTGATGGTCGGAATGGAATTTCGAGAGTTGTTGTAGCTTCGTTAAGTGATTTGGGATGTGTGTGTAAAGTTTTAGGTTATTCGGACGTCGTTTGGTTGGGTTTTGATCAAACGCGTGTTTCGAAAGTTTTAGAAGAACTTAGGCTTGAATTCGACGTAATTTGATGGTTTTGGTGTTGTTTGAGGTGTTTTGATAATTGGAACAAGTTTGAATAACATTTTAGGATATATTGGCATTTTTGGTTGAGGTCCCGGGGGCCTCGGGGCGATTTCGGATGGCTATCGGGATGAGTTTTGAACTTGTGAAAGGGAAAGGTGTGCTGCTTTGGGTATTTCCACTTCTGCGGAATTTGGACCGCAGAAGCGAGGTCGCATATGCGAAAGGGAGGCCGCAGAAGCGAGATTTGGACTTTAAGTGGACTTCCGCAGAAGCGGGAGGTTGACCGCAGAAGCGGTACCGCTAATGCGGAATTTGAGTCGCAGAAGCGGTTCCTGGGGGCCTTAGTGATATCCGCAGAAGCGGAACTTTTGCCGCAGAAGCGGTGTCGCGGAAGCGGTTATTTAACCGCAGAAGCGGAAAAGGTCTGGGCAGAAGGGTTCTTTTAAATCATTTTTGTGTTCCGCGAGGCTAAGTTAATTTTCACCATTTTTGAGCATTGTGGGAGCTACTTGGGAGCATTTGAAGGGGGATTCGAAGGAGTTTGACTGGAGGTAAGTTTTATGAGTTAAAAACACGATTATATTGTGGAATTATCCTTGAAATTCTTGAGAATTTAGCTAAATTGAAGGAAGCTAGGGCTTGGTTTTTGGTATTTTAAAGTGAGTTGTGATGGGTCACTTGAACTCGGATTTGGGAGTTTTTGATATGTATAGACTCGTGGCAAGATAAGGAATCCGATGATGTTAAATTTTCGAGAAGTGGGCCCGGGCTCGGGTTTTGCAAATGTCGTGAATTTCAATATTTTTCGAGTCTTTTCGATTGGGTTATGTTCCATTATCCTATTGTGACGTATTCGTTGTGGTTTTGATCAGATTCGACGCGCGAGGAGATCGAGTTGCGAGGCAAGGGCATAGCGAGCTAGGATTTTGGCCGGCTTAAGGTAAGTAATGATTGTAAATGCTGTCCTGAGGGTTTGAAACCCCGGATTACACATCGTTGTGTTACTTTGAGGTGACTTGCACGCTAAATGACGAGCGTGGGGTAGAGCATCGCTGGGGATTGTGACCTAGTCCATCCCGAATGACCATTTTAATGAGTAATTGATAGTTAATCGTTTGATGTTATTATACTTTGGGCTGTATGCCATGTTTGGGGCTTCATGCCGACTTGCTGTGACCCTTAGGGGCATTTGACTGATTTTTCCTCACTCTATTTGTTGAAAGTATATCCTCAGTCATGTTTTTTATCTGTTTATTTCTCAAACCTGGCTCTACCATTATATTCTTAAAAAAAAATGTGAAAAACTGTTTGGGCTGAGTTCCCTATTTTACTGATATAGACCGAGGGTCTGATTGTGAGATTGACGACTGATATAGACCGAGGGTCTGATTGTGAGATTGACGACTGAGATAGACTGAGGGTCTGATAGTGATGTTAATGACTGAGAGAGGCCGAGGGCCCAGTTGTGAGGATTTTATATATATTTATGGATCGGGCTGCACGTCGCAGCAAAGTATTATTATATATATATGGATCGGGTTGCACGCCACAACAATGCTTATATGGATCGAGTTGCACGCCGCAGCGATATATATATTGGATCAGGCTGCACGCCGCATCAATATTGCGCTTGGGCTGTAAGGGGCCCCTCCCGGAGTCTGCACACTCCCTAGTGAGCGCCATCGACGATATATGGATCGGGCTGTTTGCCGCAGCGCTATTATATATATAAATATATATATATATATATGGATCGGGCTGCACGCCGGAGCGGTTACTATATGGTACCTATTGAGCGTGAGTGCTGAGTGTGAGCACTGATTGGTAAATAGTTGAGTCACGAGTGACAGAGAGGCTAGCCCAAGGGGCGATAGACATTGACATGCATATGAGTGATATTTGCCTGAGAGGCCTGTTTATGAACTTATTGATTTCACTTCTCTTTAAAGTGAGTTCCTATCGAATATGTTGATTGGTTGACTGTTTTCACTCATCTTTATATTGAGCCTCTGTCGGAAAGTTGAACAAATATTTTAAAACAACTTTTATTTAAACTGGGGATTATGAGATGTTTAGAAATTAATCACTGTTTTGGCATTTGGTTATTTCCACCGAGATTTTTAAGTTGTGAAGTATTTATGATTACTGTTTTGCCCGAGGGGCTGTTTTACGAACTATGCTTTGCCCGAGGGGCCGATTATTGCTTTAATCTCTATTATTATTTTAAATGGTGTTGAACCCCTACAGAAACTGCTGGAAATATTTCAAAAATGATTTTTACTAATAGCTGGGTTTTAAAAGGGAAGGTTGACTCGTATTATGATTTGATAGCCTGTTGTGTTTATTGAGCCTAACGCGAATGTGGATTCATTATTTCCTACTACTCAGTCTTTATTTACTCTTATTACTTACTGGGTTGGAGTACTCACATTACTCCCTGCACCTCGTGTGCAGATGCAGGTATTTATTCACCCGGTAGCGGGTTTTGGCTGATTGGAGGTAGAGCTATAGGAGTTTAGCGAGGTGACTGCCAGCGTTCGCAGCACCGTTTTCTCTCTATTTTGTTCATTATTTCTGTTTCGAGTATTTTAGACCTTGTAGAACTGTATTCACACTCCAATAGATGCTCGTGACTTGTGACATCCCGATTAGGGCTGTGTTGGGTTGTATTCCCGCTAATTAATATCATGAAATTATATTTAAACTGTTTATGAACTGTTTAACTGCTTAAAAGAGGTGTTCTAAAATGGTCCGGCTGACCTTGTCTTCTCGAGAGGTGCCATCACGACCGGGGCGGAGTTTCGGTCGTGACACATTCCCATAATTAGTCGTCGACAAGTTTCTTCATCAAAATCATTTGCATATGATCCAAAGTCCCTTCCACTCCGTGATCTGGATAACGGTTAGTCTTTGTTTGCTGTCCAAATCCTTAACTTGTATGTAATGGTTATCTATAATTATCTGGAATATTTAAACTTTTGAAAAGTTAATTTTTTTAATGGCAGAGTTTGAAAGTTGTTTGTCTTCCAATACAAAGCAAAAGATGGGGAAAGGCATATTGGTGAATGAGCATATGGATTCAAGTCGTGTCAATATGCAAACTGAAATTTTAAGTTCCAGTAATGTTACCCCACAAGATCATTCAAGTAATTTTGGTTAGTTGCTCAACTGCCTCTAGATAATAACTCATAACTAAATTCAAGAAATTATAGGATATTATTAAACTTTTTTCTACTGCTTTGAGTTATTAATTACTACTTTTAGATTAAACAAAGGCATTATATGTATTCAAAGTGAAGAGAAAGTCCCTGATTTAAATATTGGCCTAGGTGATGAAGGTAAAGCTTGAGTTTTGTCATATCACTATAGACTCATTGCAAAATTGTACTTTTGTCGTAAAATTTCGATAGTGTTATCATTATATACACAAATTCATGAAAGTTAATTATATATTTATTTGATGCATAACAGGTCAACTAAACCTAGAGGGTGAAGGTGATGATGATGATGAAGATGCAAATGAGTGTGAAGGTACGTTAACAATAACTCAATTAGTGATAAATTATGTCCAACATATATTGATAATTAGAGTTGCAGTTCAATTGTCACTTATTTGAGTTTACTATCAACTTTTTATAAAGGCTGACATTGACTGTTGGGACATTTGCAATGAAGGTATGTATTATGGGTGTTTTCATATATGGGATTAATTAAATTAGCTACATTATAAAATTGGTGACTTTAACTATATAAATGTTTTCATTAATAGAGTACTGGGATATAGGAGATCCTACAAATGTATGTGAATATTGTGGGGCATATTTTTGGTTCGAAGAAAGAGTCAATAAGCAGTATAAGTCTAAACGACCAGTATTTAATATATGTTGTAATCGTGGAAAGATAAAGCTGCCGAATCCAAAGGACCCTCCTCAAATTCTAACGCAATTGTTGTTTGGATCTGGTAAGGGGAAACATCTATTTTAATCTTTTTAAAATAATATCGCATTTCGTATACAGTTCGTCATTCTCCAATTGTATAAAATGCAGGTCCTAAAAGCGACCATTTTCGAGAGAACATTAAGATCTATAATTCTATGTTCTCATTTACATCAATGGGGGGAAAGGTTGATGTCTCTGTTAATCAAACACGGGGACCAAGAACATTCAAATTGTCTGGTCAGAACTATCATCAAATCGGAAGTCTATTGCCTCCTGATGGATCCAACCCGAAGTTTGCGCAATTATATATTTATGATACAGAAAATGAAGTACAAAATAGAATTCATGCTGTGAGGTTTGGATTCTACCATAAATGAATTATAACACGTAAATATATTTTGCATGAAAATACAATATATAATAATTTCATATATATGTATTTCTGTGCAGTCTTGGCCAAAACATGAACAAACTTCATGTTGAGATTGTTAATGATCTGAAGCAAATGCTTGATGGAAACAATGTTTTGGCAAAGACATTTAGAATGGTAAGAGATAGATTTTAAGAAGATAGAAGCTCCAATGTTAGACTCAGATTGATAGGAAAAAGGAGCACCGATGGAAGAAGATACAATTTGCCTACGGTTTCAGAGGTTGCTGCAGTGGTGGGAGATTTTGAACTATCTAGATGTGATAGGGACATCATTATCGAAACCCAATCCGGACAGCTACAAAGGATAAATGAATTAAATGCTGCCTATTTAGGGTTACAATATCCTTTACTATTTCCATATGGTGAAGATGGATACAGAGAGGACATTCCTTTCGAGGGAGATGATGAATCAACTGGAGAAAGGAAATGTGTTAGCATGCGGGAGTATTTTGCTTATAAAATTCAAGAAAGGAATAATGAAGTTCCGGCGATTGTGTCTTCTAGAAGATTATTTCAGCAATTCTTGGTTTGTCACGACCCAAAATCCACTAAGGGTCGTGATGGCGCCGGACACTGCTGTCAGGCAAGCCAACTAAAATACTTAATTAGATTCCATTTTTCTTTTTTACAATTTGAAAACCAAGATTTTCCTCCCAATTTCATAGGTGAAAGGATAACTGCTTCAATTCAAATAAAATAATGAGCAATTAATACAAAGTATTTCAAAATCCATCCCAGAACCCGGTGTCACAAGTGCATGAGCAATTTCTAAGAAATAATATAACACAACATCCGTCCGGAATACAGTGGACAGAAAGTAAATAAAATATACTGGAAGGGACTATACTAGCTGCGGGCCGCCTCGAATAATGCAACTCACCTAGTCCCCAAATCATCCGTGCTGCTACGCCCAGTAGGCCACTAGAGTTACATAAACCTGTGCAACAAAAATGCGCAGAAGTGTAGTATGAGTACATAAACAACATGTACTCAGTAAGTATCACGCCTAATCTCGAAGAAGTAGAGACGAGATGGTCGACTCTGACACTTACTAAGGGTCCAATAATGTGATGTCAATAAAATATTAAATCGCGGATTTCTATAAACATGATTTTTTAATCCAATAGAAGGAAACAAGTGAACGATTATTTTCTTTTATAGAAAATTTCCAAAATTCCTTTTCATTATTTATCCAAATGTTCTCAAGCCATGAAGAGGCAATAACAACTTCAATAAGTTCAAGGCAGCAATACAAGCATGCGCAAATAACACTGTGGTACGTACGGCCCGCTCCAATAGAAAATAAATTGTGTACTGTCGAGGGTCGAACGGCGCGAACCATAGATGCATCTATTACCCCGCTCGCGAACTATCCACGACGCGGTCAACATAAAATAAACAATCACCCTGCTCGCGAACCATACATGCGACACAGGTACACATAGAAATACATGCTCAGATAGCCAATTAAGAATTTATCGGGGAATACTTATTCAAATAAAAGCCACTTTCCCTTTTAACAATTTAAGAAAATGAAGTTTAATCCTTTTAGAAGTTCATCTACAAATTCAATGTGATTTAAGCAATTCAAGCTGTCAATAAGGTTACAGATATTCCAGATATAGCATGCTTTGGGTACTAAACTACCCAGGCAAAAGCATAACAGTAGCTACGCACGGACTCTCGTCACCTCGTGCATACGTAGCCCCCACAAATAGGAGCACATAACCAAATAACTGACCTATGGGGACAATTCCCTCTTACAAGGTTAGAAAGGAGACTCACCTCGTTCCGAAGATCCATAACCGGCATTCCACGCCCTTCAGAAGACTCGGATCGACACACAACGCTCCAAAACTAGCCAATGATTATACAAATCCATTAATATATGCTTAATTACTCATTATAATCCAATTTATAACAATTCCTAACCCCGATCGAAAAGTTAACAAAAATGCCCTCGGGCCCACGTGCCCGGAATCCAAATTTTTCGAAGATAAAGATTACACATGGCCTCACGAACTCAAATATATGATTTTCTCTAAATTCCATACCCAAAATCGTGGTCAAAATCCAAGAATACTAATTTTCTAGGTTTTTCCTCAAACCCCAAGTTTTCTACAATTTCCATGTTTAAATCCATATGTAAACCTTGCATTTAACTCAAAACTGGCATAAATTACTTACCTCATGATGAATGACGGAATCCCCTCTTCAAAAGCTCCAAAAATCGCCCAAGCCAAGAGAAAAATGGGTGAAATGAACTCAACCACTATTTTTAAACATTCTGCCCAGCCCAGGTCCGCCCTTCTTCGCGTTCGCGAAGGCCAGTCACCCAGCCCTTCGCGTTCGCGCACAAGGCCTCGCGTTCGCGAAGGCCAGTCACCCAGCCCTTCGCGTTCGCGTAGGCCAAAGACCCCAGGCCAGATTTTTCCTTCTATGCGTTCGCGATCTCCTCCTCGCGTTCGCGTAGCAGCTCAGCCCACCCCTTCGCGTTCGCGAAGGCCAAAACTAGAAGCCTCCCACTTTCCTCTTCGCGTTCGCGAGACTCCCTCCGCGTTCGCGTAGTAGGAAACCAGATACCAGCAGCAGCTTTTTACCCAAATTCGATCCGTTAACCATCCGGAATTCACCCGAGCTTTATGAATCAACCTCCAATCCAAGCTTTATGAACTTTAGAACTTCAAACTTCTACTTCCGACGTTTAAACCTATCAAATCACGTCCGATTGACTTCAAATTTTTCACACAAGTCATATTCAACATTACGGACCTGCTGCAACTTCCGGAATCGGATTCCGACCCCGATATCAAAAAGTCCACTTCCGGTCAAACTTCTCAAAAACCTTCGAATTTCTATCTTTAGCCAAATGACTCCAAAATGACCTACGGACCTCCGAATTCACTTCCGATCGCGCTCCCAACTCCAGAATCACCATACGGAGCTACTCCCTGACTCTGAATCCCAAACGGACATCGATATCACTGAAATGCACTTCAACCCAAACTTATGAAATTTCTTTCAAAATGTTACTTTCCACAATAGGCGCCAAAACGCTCCCGTGTCATCCAAAACCCGATCCGGGCATACGCCCAAGTCCGAAATCATCATACGAACCTGCTGGAACCTTCGGATCCCGATTCCGAGGTTGTTTACTCAAAATTATAATCCTAGTTAATTCTTTCAACTTAAGGCTTCCGAAATGAGAATTCTCTTTCCAAATCAACTCTGAACTTCCCGAAACTTAATTCCGACCACGCGTACAAGTCATAATACCTGAAATGAAGCTGTTTATGGCCTCAGACTACTGAACGACGTGCTAGAGCTCAAAACGACCGGTCAGGTCGTTACATTCTCTCCCACTTAAACATACGTTCGTTCTCGAACGTGCTGAGAACTACACTGAAGTAGTCTGAAATCACTGTTTAACTTCTCATGCACCTTCCCGTGCTACCACGACTCAGTTGAGCACATCAGCTCGATCAATTCTGAAGATATTCCCTTTTATTCAAGCAAATAAGCTTTAGAGCCCAATTCCAACATCTGGAATTCTATGCCTGACCTGTTTCCAACATAATATCACCATATCAATCACCACACGCTGCACCCAAACATGGCTGCATAACTTTGCTGAATTCACACCTAGCATCAATTTACTCACCGGACCACAATAACATTTTCTGATCAACTTAGTCAAAATCCTACTAATCCGATGCTCCCATTGCACCCCATGACATACACAGGTCTTACTCTAACCTTTACAATACCGCCACTAAGGAAGAGATGTGCAGAAACTCATAACCAACTGCCGAGTCAACAGGTCATTAGGTCTATACCCCTGACAAAACCCATCACCTTATTCTGAACCAAATAATGGTCTTAGCTCCTTGATATACTCCATATACTCAGATTGCACTAATCTCGAATTCAATGATCTCGTCTCACCCAGTACGAACTATTCAGGCAATAAGCCACCCCGACATGATCAAAAGTCTCATATGATGCTACAATGTGCCAATAGGCTACCATATCGAACGCGATATAAAGGAAAGCAAACTTTGAGAAGGAAACTCAACTACACTGCTCGCGAATCATACATGCAACACGGTGGACTTAATTAACAAACACCTCGCTCGCGAATCATACATGCGACGGGCACACAGCTAATATAAGCCTCCCTCATAAAATAGGAAACAAAACTCATAAAAACAGATACGGGGATCTGTACTCATCTTCATACTGTTGCGGCTCGCAACCCGATCCGAACAATATAACCATGACGGCGTGCCACCCGATCTACCCATAAAAATCGCATAAGGAGATACGCACCGAGCTAGATTGCTCATTTCAATAATATACCGAATACCGGTCACAAGCACACTAAGTGCATAATTCCATCCGTGGGGAGACATATAGCGCCAGAAGCCACAAAACTCAAGCACGACTGAGGTGCGATATTGTGACGACCCGGCCGGTCGTCTTAAGAATTAACGCCCCGATCCCCCATTAACTGTTCCCCCTAAGTTCATTTCTGCTATTTTGGTTTGCCGGGACGTTCGGTGTTAGGATTCGGAGTGTTTTGGGACACCTAGTCCCTAAATGAGAGCTTAAGAGTTGAAAAATGGTCCGTAATTGGAACAGTGTGAAGACGGCCTCGAAATGGAAATCCGAAGGTTTTGTTAGCTCCGTTAGGTGATTTCGAGGTTGGGAGCGTGTTCGGAATGAACTTTGGAAGTCCGTAGCTCATTTAGGCTTGAAATGCCGAAGTTTATATTTTTGAAATCTCCGGTCCGATAGCGAGTTTTGATCCGAGGGTCGGAATGGAATTCCGGAAGTTGCAGTAGCTCCGTCATGTCATTTGGGATGTGTGTGCAAAATTTCAGGTCATTCGGACGTGTTTTGGTTAGGTTTTTGATCGAAAGCGTATTTGGAAGAAATTTGAAGTTCTTAGGCTTGAATCATTGATTAAATCGGGTTTCCAGTGTTGTTTTAGGTGTTTTAAGGATTGGTACAAGTTCGAATAAGGTATTAAGTGGTATTGGTGCTTTTGGTTGAGGTCCCAGGGGCCTCGGGATGATTTCGGGTGGTTGACGGAAAATTTTGAGGTTGAATGAATTGCTGAAGGTTCTGTCTACTGTCATAACCGCACCTGCGGTTTGGGTCCCGCAGGTGCGGAGCCGCAGAAGCGGCCAGTCAGACGCAGATGCGGAATTTAGCAGGAGTAACAGGATCCGCAGATGCGGAATTTTTGCCGCAGAAGCGGTACCGCACCTGCGGGTGGGAAACCGCAGATGCGAAAGCTGGGACC